TACTTAAGCCACTGGCCGGCTGGTTAGTAGTTGGGTGGGTGACCACCAGCGAATCCCAGCTGTTGTATGTTTTTGCCGAGCCTCCAAGCTCTACACTATTCACTACACGGGGCCGATGCAGCCATTGCGAAGCGGAGCACCTGCAGCTCGGCTCAGACGTCGTCTACCGCGCCACTACTATACCTCAAACCATCACAGCTGGTTTATGTCTATCGCAACGGTGCCGGCACACTACAGTACGCGCAGCAAGAGATCTTGCGTTCCCACGCTTGGCTCTTCCGGGTTGCGGAGCGATGGCAGGGCAGAGCGAAGGCACCGCTACACTGCACGGTCAGGCTGCTCGCGATATAAAGCGATGGGGAGCGCGGAGTACCTCCTGTCAATGCGTGTTGTACAGCAGCACGTCTCATCGCCAATGGTGCAGCGCCAGTAGATCTCGTGGCAACCGTCATTCCTGCGGAGGTAGGGATCGCACGATGGCATTGCGATTGGATAGCTTCGTCAGGCTGCGACTCACCGTCTCGTTCATCGGTATGATGGTCCGGGGTCAGAAGTCATCTGTTGATAATGTTGACATGCGGCTGCCTTCCCGCATACTCAAAAGGCGACTACTCTTGCACGTGAAAGACTCACATCAGTGCGTCACGCCAGTCTTCGCAAAGACAAGTCATACCCCCGACGGTGACGGGCAAACTCGCCATCCGCGCCGTGTCCAACATGCAGACAGAGCGAGGGAAACACGCCACCATCAAGGCGCGCGAGCTGACCACCACGAGAACAATCGCCTGCACCTCATATTCCGAGGGGGCTGGTGGGCCGCCAGCCGACTAGATGCCTGTATATTTCGGCGTCAGGCAGGCTATACATACCTCTTGTCCTCGGGTGTTCTCAGGGGGGGGGAAAGGCGCGAGTGTTAGGCAGGCTATACATACCTCTTGTCCTCGGGTGTTCTCAGGGGGGAAAAGGCGCGAGTGGGACAAAAAGACGAGGTCGAGCTGGGAATCGAACCCAGATCATCAGAACGATCTCAATTTTCTGCTGAGTCAGAATCTGATGTGATAACCATTACACTACTCAACCGGAACTGGTAGGATTTCGACTGCTAAGTATATGACCACCATCAATATAGATGACCATGGTACAACGATCCCGACGTTCGCACGCACGATTGAGCGAGCGTATCCCTCACCCGCACCCTCGGAAGACACACGGACTGACAGGACGACTGGCGGGATGGTGGCGTATGACTGAGCTCTCACACGCCTGCAACGTATACTCAGAGGAGGCAATTTGCGTCCTCAGAGATGCCAAGATGCATTGGCCACGTCCATACTCACGACCTTGGCCGGCTTGATTTTGGGGATTCAGACTCGATCTCTCTCCATTCCCCTCCTGTCCTCCGGTATGGGATGCGAGACTTGGGCGATCTATTGACACACAGCGATGCGCATGTTCAAGACTGCGAGGCTGGCGATGTGCGTGCACGGCATGAGATGGGTAGGCAGCCGCATGTTTTGACCGCATCTGGCACGACGTCTAGCGTCGCTGCATCTATGCGCGCGGTACAGTCCGATCCGAGTCGCTGGCCCAGGAGGCAATGCGCCACTGACACGCCAGATCCAGCTCAGGGATGCGCATGCCACCAACCTACCGCGCAGACATCACGTCGGCCCTCTTCAAGGTCATGCCGATTGCCACCACTTCAGCCAGGAGAGTCGCGTTCACCGACTGCCACGACAGGCGCTGGCTGGTACCGCGCTGTCTGCGGTGCTGAGGCAGTGAGGCTTGGACCGCCGGCAGTGAGGGCGAGTGCGGTGCCGGCTATGGCGTGTCCCGCGACTCCGGCGAAGCGCGTTTGAACTGTACATTACAGAGCACACTGAGGGGTTCGCGGGACCCGCGCTGCGCTTGCCGTGAGTGTGAGCGTGAGTGTGAGTGTGTACTCGAGTACGCTGTGCAGTGGTGTGGTGTGGTGTGGTGTGGTGTGAAGTGGAGTGATGTGAGATGGACAGACACGCAGGAGGTCACCTGACAGGACACGCATGCCCGATGCAGCCTAGCCGGGCGCTTCCTCGCTTCTCCCGCGTACTCTGCGCAACCACTCTGTGTACTCTGCAGTCCTCGGCGTCCCCCGTCGCAGCAACAATCTGTCCCGGCTGTGTGTGTCTCGCCCTCTCCCTCACTCTCTCTCTCTTCCTTTCCCGCCCGCATTGCTCGCTCTGCGCCGCGCCCGCCTTCCACCACCTGGTCACCTTCTTCGCTGCGGTCTGTCCTGCGCTTCGTCTTGCCGGTGCTCCTGCAACCATGCTGCAATTGGCCTCTGCCGGCGTTGCCCG